TCTGTGACAAACAAAAACAAACAACACAAAAGAATACTCATTTTCTCCAGTGCTGAGAAGAAATAGTTAACCTAACTTTAGAGTGATCAAGACCTACCTCTTCCATCGTATTGTACGTGGTATTCAGAACTTGTAAGATGAGTTACCACATTATTACTGATTACAGAAAGCATTCAGCTTAGAAGGTAATTAAGAGGATCAGGCACAGCAGCTTAAGGATTCTGGTAAAAGCTCAACTCAGTACTAATGTCAGCTGCTCCCAAAGCTTGCTTATAAATAAATCACTGAAATATGAGACAAAATTCAAATTCTTCAATTCTTTAGATTTTTGGGAGCTCTCTGGGTTTTGTGTTTCAAGTAAAAGGAGTTACTAATTTATAACTTTCTCTACCACCTGTGTTTTAAAGCACATGAAGATCTAATTTCACTAGCTATTAAGTTTTCCTTAAGCCCAAAAATAATTACATCTAAAGAATTACATTTAAAGTATCTCATGGCTAAAAGGAACATAATATTTAGTGGAGACTTTGTATCAGGCACTAACTTATTGTTATGTACTGTTTATTAATTACCTTTAGTTCTTACAGTAGGCCTTAAGAGTAAGCTTCTCTCCCTAGACAAGGACTAGACTTGGATGACATAACTATCCTAAGTTCATAGAGCTGAGCTGTGGTGCTGGGACTAGGAAAAGCCCATGATTCCACAGCCCATAGCTGAGCATCGAACCAGAAGGCTTTAAAGCACAAAAATGCTGCTGCAAAATACTTTCTCAGTTTTTTTTCTGAAAAAATTACTATAACAAATGCAGACAGGAAGGTATGAATATAAACTAGAATATGCAGCCATCCTTAACCTCAGCTAAACTAAAGACACCATTACATTCCTCAGTCATGGGTTCCAAATAAAAAAACAACAAAACACCTTGCATTTCATCAAAGGCAAACTATCTGGCAGACCAGCTGGAGAGAACTTGGTTGGTTTAGCACATATTTTAAACCCTCTAGCACAGCATAGTACTAATGTAGAGTTTTGGCAATGGAAATGTCGTATCCTAGGCAGAGACCAACATTAATCATTAAAATGCTTAAGAAATAATTCCCTATTTTAACAAAAATAAATAGGTTTAATGGCAACATATAAACTCAGGAATGCTACAATTTTTTATGAATTTTGTTATTTTTAACTCAAAATGACAAAATTGGGCAAGAGAACTGAGGCAGAGGCTATTAAGATTTAATGCATCTGGAAATGAAACCAGTTAGGATGCTCGAATTACCATTTATGATTTCTAAATGATCCCATCATCTCCTGAGACATTATTATATTATTATTCCCATTTTACAGATAAAGAAACTGGAGCTCTGAGCCAAGTGCCTAGGCTCACACAGTTACCAGGAGGCACAATGGGAAGCTCCCTAAAGAAACGGTATGTAAGATATGATCAAAGAATATGTTTAGGGCTGGAGAGATGGCTCAGAGGTTAAGAGCACTGATTGCTCTTCGAGAGGTCCTGAGTTCAATTCCCAGCAACCACATGGTGGCTCACAACCATCTATAATGAGTTCTGGTGCCCTCTTCTGATGGGCAGGGGTACATACAGACAGTACACTGTATATATAATAAATAAATCTTAAAAAAAAAGACACATATCACAAACATGTGGCAAAAAAAAAAAAGAATATGTTTAGCTCCTTAGTAGTCTTCTAGCACTCAACCAATGCTGTAGGAATATCTTCATGTCAGCCTAGTAGGGCATTCTCAGAGTATGATCTGAGGATCCTAAAATCCCCAAGATTCTGTACCGGGAAATTCATAAATCACCACTATTTCACAAAAATTCTTAAGACTTTTAGTTGTCTATTTCACACTCATTCCCTCATTAATGAGCAGAATTCTCAAACTGAATACATTTAGAAGCAGTTATATGAACCCATCTGTCTTTAATTTAAGCGAGCAATAATGAAACATGAAAATATAAAATAATTGCATTATTCTCACTACTCTCTTTGGGAAATAGAGACATTTTTCACTGTAAGGTAGGCTAATTATGTTAGCATATAACAGATTTAGCATTACTTTTAGATGCACTAACAACAAATAATTAAAATTCCTTAGTTTTTACCTCCCAGTCAACATAACCCATATGAACAATGAATCATCAAAAAATTGTAAGAGCATATGGGGTTCTGAGACTCAAAGATCTGAGAAACTATGAGATCTAGAATGAGACATCCCACTGAAAATATACATACAGAAGGAAAAGCACTCTTTTATAGTCTTTTCTATTAACCATTTGGTAACTTTAGCTTTCCTCATGATTATTGATCAGTTCATATATACACTATCAATAGTTTCAACACGTAAAGTTTATAAGCATTATATATTTACAAAAATATAAAAATTAGTTTTAATACATATCATATGTAAGTATATAAATACATAATATTCACTAATATATATGAAATATATTATTGCTATATATATATATATATATATATATATATATATATGTAAAATAACAAAAGACTAATGTTGTGGGGTCTTGGGGGGATTCAGCATTTTACTACATAGCCCAGCCTAGCCCTGAACCCACATTCTTTCCTGCCTCTAACTAACTATAGTTTTATAGAAACTATTTTTCATTAAATGTTCCTACTTTCACTTTATTACCCAGTTGAGTGCATAGGAGTCTGGAGTGATTTTCTTTGTATCAAGAAAAGAACAAAGCTCAGGCTCATGGTACTGGATGAGCAATCGGAAGAGATGAAATGGCCTCCCCTTCAGGGAACAATCCCTACGAGAAAGAGAAGCAAAGTTTCTCATTACTAGGTCATACATGATCACACTGGCATTCAGTCCTCCTGAAACACCCATTTCCTCCTTCACTATCAGAGCATCCCAGCATTCACAGCACGCCCTCTGAGAGCCAGGCAGAGCTCTCTTCTAACATCTTTCCATAGGCCTGCTTATGGCTGACATGCAGCCACTTGAGGGAGGTTTCTGAGGCAAACCCAGGAGCACTCAAGTGAAAGGACTTCAGGGATCACTAAAAACAGCATTTAGGTTATTGTGACACAGGCAGGGTAGCCAAAGATCTAGAGGGCCCTGAGAGTGAGTCAGTCCAGCCTCCTCCTTCCTTGCCAAGAAAGCAGAAACTTCTTGGACTGCTTCAGTTTTGCACCACAGTTTATACGTTCAGAGGATGTCTTTCAGCAAAGGTATAAGTCTGGAAATACCACAGATGACATTTCAGAATATGACCTCTTAGCCTGAGACACTATCAAAATGGCCTAGGTACCAGGTGTCCACAGTAAATTCTAGAAAGTACTAAATGCCCAGCTTCAAAGGGTATTGTCTAAGTAAGATGAAAAACTTGAATTTATATACTGTTTCAAAGTAAGTCACCAAGTATATACTCTGCCATTTTTATTATCACAAGGCCTTTTCCCAAAGAAATATCACATTCCTGTGCAGATACTTCAAAAGAAGAAGAATTGCAAAAGGATAGAAACGTGTTCTGATGCCTGAATTCCCTGTGGCTTTTCACTATTAACTCAGGAAGCATCTTATCTAGTCAGCCACAAGCAGGCTCATCTGCCTAGGGTGGTCATGGGAGCTACCCAAACCCTGACTTCAAACTGTAGCCACACATCTGCTCCATGTGGAACAGGTACAGAGTGGTCCACATGCTAGCTCAGTACTCAGGAGACAGGGTTGTCTCTTCCTGACCACACGCTGTCTCTGATGGAAATACAGAAGCCACACCTTCAAGTAAATCGTTGGTGTGCTCAAGATTTGGCCATACTACTGCCGTCATACTTTGTGTATTTGTGTACTTAACATCTCAAAACTGAACAGTTATTTCATGGCAAAATAATCTACCAAAGACAGCCCATTTTCAGTCGCTTGATCTTACTGACCTTTGAACCACTGTATCTAAACCCAACCAAACAAAAAGCACTAAAGACATGGCTACTTTGCCCAGGGGTCTGTTAGTCAGGTGGTCCTATGAACTCTTCATTTAGGCCTGTAGGTTTCACTCACGGCTCAGTCTCCATAAACTACCTCAGCTTTAGTACTGAGATGCACCCTACTCAGTACAAAGGATCGAGGCAAGACTGTTCTCTGATGTATTAGTGAAAGCCCAGGCCATCATAATAAAAGCTAGCTACTTATGGAAGAAGCACTACCACATACTGTAAAAAACATTTCACAAACTTACTTCATTTTATCTTCACAAACAACCTATCGACCCCCATGCCCACTTTACAAATGAGAATACTGAGGTTCCAGTATGTCACTGAAGGTCATACTGCTAGCAGTTAATAAATTAGGAACCATGACTTGACCACAGAAACTGGGCCTTAGCTCATTATCCTACCATCTTCCCATATGTAAAACTTAGTACACAGCCGGGCGGTCGTGGCGCACACCTTTAATCCCAGCACTTGGAAGGCAGAGGCAATCAGATCTCTGTGAGTTCGAGGCCAGCCTGGTCTACAAAGCGAGTTCCAGAACAGACTCCAAAGCTACACACAGAAAGCCTGTCTCGAAAAAACAAAACAAACGAACAAATAAAAAGTCCACTAAATAATTATCACAGCTTTAACATGAAAGCATCATTAATTAGGGCCATCAAGATGGTTCAGTAGGTAAAGGCGTTTGCCACTAAGCTTCATGACCTAAATTCAATCCCAGGAACCCACTCCCACAGACTGTCCTCTGACCTCCACACATACACATGTGCATGCATACATACACAATAAAGAAATAAAGTAATAAAAACTTTAAAAAGCATCAGTAAAAATATTTTTAAATGTTATTTAGAGATGGGCATTTAGTTCAGTGGTAGAACATATACTTGACATGTGTAAGGACACAGGTTCAATTCTCAGCACTACAAAAATAAAAATAAATAAAAATGCTATTCAGAGGGCATAAATGAAAATTACATCTGTGAATACAATATTTAACATCGATGCAATGGTTTGTTATGGCTTTCAACTATCACTGTCTTGTTATCTTTGTCTTTTGAGACAGTGTCTCCTTCTGTAGTCCAGGCTGGATTAGAACTGATGATGCAGTCCAAGCTCACTGTGAACTCACAGCAATCCTCCTGTCACTCCTCCCAAGTGCTGAGATTGCAGGTGAGCCACCATGCACAGCTTGCTTGCTTGTTTGGTTGGTTTTTTGTAACTTATAAAATGTATTTTATGTTATTTGAGCATTTTGTCTGAATGTATGTCTGTGTACTATGTTCATGCAGTGTCTGAAGAGGTCAGAAGGTGTCAGATCTCCTGGAACTAGAGTTACAGACAGTTGTGAGCTGCCATGTGGGTGCTGGGAATAGAACCTAGGTCCTCTGCATGAGCTGCCAGTGCTCTTAACTGATGAGTCATCTCTCCAGCCTCCATGCCCACCTTTCAATCTACCCCTTTTGATATTACAAATGGCAGTACACAGAAGGCCCAGAGAGAACTGGATTTATCCTGGTAAGAATAATGCTAAATCTGAATACTTTCCCAGCTGGGTAAATGCAGAACACTCAAATGCTAAGGTAGAACACAGAGGCAGGAAGAACGCAGGGAACATGAACAGTAGCTGAGGTAAAACAGTGAGCATCACTGGGAGTAGGTCACTGAAGCCACATGCATTTAAGGGCTGCATACTCAATGTTACTCTCATCCACAGGGTTTGTCCTTGATACATTCTAGCCATCTTATGTTCCAACCAGTGGTAAGATGATATATTAAAACAGGATTCGTCAGTTGGGTGTGGTAGTGCACATCTTTAATCCCAGCACTCGGGAGGCAGAGGCAGACAGATCTCTGAGAGTTCAAGGCTAGCCTGGTCTACAAATCTAGTTCCAGGACAGCCAGGGCTGTTAGACAGAGAAACTTGTCTCAAAAATAACGACAACAGTAACAAACAAACAAACAAAAGGAACCAGGAAGAATGTGACAAGATGATGTGTGACATAGTTCAATATAACAGCCCCTTCCTCTCCACCTGTCACTCCATCACTCTTTAGAAACAGTGCTGGGACATCATGTCTCTTGCTGTGACTAGCTCTGTTACACTGAGAGATGGCCAGGAGAAGTAATAAAACACAGACAGCTGACAGCTATAGTGTGACAGAATTATACCTAACCAGGCATCCCAATTTCGGCTTTGCCATGACCATGGCCTTCTCCTTCAGTATCTTTGGGACCGTTTTCTTTACATGGAGAAGTATGGCTTCAAGGAAGCATAGAGTTTCACCACTCTGTTCTAACTATAATCTCCAGGGTGCTTTAAAAAAAACATGTAGAAATAGGTCTAGTGTGCTTATACTTAAACTCCTGGAACTTCTGGCTAAATCAATCTTTTTTTTTTCTTCTTCAGATATTTTTTTGTCTATAGATTTGGTTTTTGGCTAAACATTTCTCCAAAGAAGATAAATAACCAATAAACATAAAAGGATGTGTAACATCATTAGCCAGCAGTGAAATCCAGATCAAAAACCTCAACAAGGAACTGGCGTGCAGCTCAGCGTGAGCAGACTCCCAGCATGTGTATCCACAGCTGCACAGCTGAGCCACTGGACGAGATTATATTTAAAGTTTCTTTGGGCTCTGAAAATCTGACTGTCTGAATCACAGCAGTGGGAACTACAATTTTCGGCCTTATGAGGGCCTCCCCACCCTCCCCACTGCCATGGCCCCTTCCATAAGCAGTTACATGTCTGTCTAGTTTCAGCAAAAGCATCATTGGCTGGGGAAGCCATCCTTGATCCTGAGGGTAAATTAAGTCTCTCACAGCATATTCCTATAGCATTCTATATTTCACCTTCCTAAGACTCTGCACATTTCACTTATTAGTTCAACATCTGCATATGTAGGACTGGGTTCCTCCCTGAAGTCCCAGCAGCTCCCAGAGGCAGTACTGCCACTTATCTGCACATGCAGGACGGTATTCCTAACTGCAATCCCAGCACCTCACAGAAAGTGGGACTTACAAAATCCCGTTAGTTTTACTTTTCAGTAAAGATAGTAAGGTAAAAATAACATCAAATAAACCTAAAGTTAAGCTACAAATATCAACTCTAGTAGTGCAACTTCCTAATACAAAGAATCCTTTAAAAATCTTTATAATGGGGGCTGGAGAGATGGCTCAGCACTTAACTGCACTGGCTGTTCTTCCAGAGGACTGACTAGGTTCCATTCCCAGCACTCACATGGGGACTCACAACCATCTGTAAATTCAGTTCCAGAAATCAGATGTCACATTCTGGCCTCCCCAGACACCAGGCACTCATGTGGTACACATACATACATGCAGGCAAGACACCCATATACATAATCAAGAAATTTTTCTAAATGTTTGTCACAAGAACAAAGTCAAATAGCAATTATACCTCTGGCAACCTCAAAAATTACTTGACCTATTTACTTTACCATCAAAAGAAATCTAACAAACTTTATTTCAAAGTGAAATGGACTTTCATAACCACAACCAAATCATATTTTACCTGGGAATGTACTTATTCATGATGGCATAAAAGCAGTTGTATAGGTCGCTGCGAGGCAGCTGGAGACACACCAGTGGCTTTAGTAGATGAGTCCAGCTCAGGGATGTGCTGTATTTAACATTGCGTGACTTACAGTAAAAAGTAATTACAGATTCTACATCCAGAAGTAAATCTGCTGTCTTCTCCTTTGGCACTGAGAGCTGCTCTAGAAATAAAGCATCAAACCAAAGTTACCAGGGAACTACTAGAGGCTCAGGGACGGGGCATACTACCTGTCCACAAATACATTCTGGGAGTGTATGAAACGATGATAAAAGCAGTAAAATCTTGACAGTACTTTTCTCATAATTTTATTTTTTATTTTTGTAGTAAGGAAATAGAACCAAGGCTTTGCATACGCTAGGTACCTGCTTTATCACTGAGCTATGTCTAGTAGTTCTTATATTCAATAGACACTGGTTCACAGATGCAAAACCTAAGAGAAAACAGTTAAAATTCTTTATAACCACCTCATTTTAATTTTTTTTTTTTTTTTTTTTTTTTGGTTTTTCGAGACAGGGTTTCTCTGTGTAGCTTTGCACCTTTCCTGGAACTCGCTTTGGAGACTCATTTTAATTTTTAAAGCTGTCACTGTGTATACTCGTTGTATATGGTACTGTGTTACCTAAGGACATCGTCATACAATGATATATTTATGCTGAATATATTCTCCCTAATCTTCTAACTTAAAGCAAGAACGCTGTTACAGAACAACCATCAGTTTCACATGAAGTGTTGTGTGTTTTTCCCTAGCCCTCAGAGAGAAGGGAAGACAGAAGACAGTTTACTAACAAACAGTACTTAGTGACATTGACCACAGTCATGTGAAACGGAAGATGGCCAATTTGAGGCGGAGTGGTGGGCAACGACAGGCATAAGCCAAGAAGCTGGAAAGCCAACGGACATTTTCTAACAGGACTATCAAGTGTTCCACAATGTGAAGCTTTGGTACGTAGAGGGAAAATTCATTCTCTACCATAAAATTCAGTACTTTATTTCTTCCCTTCCCTTGTTCTAAATCTTAGTTTTTATTTTATAATAAAGCTAATCAAACATGCACAAGCAAAATTACCTGTGACTTCTCATACTGGTTTATAGAATAAACAGATATAAAATGTGAATTAAATATGAACAAAACTATAACCATTATTATTAACATCAAGGTAATCTCAGAAATATATGATATACATCATGTGAAGTCTTCAAATCTCTGGTCCAAATTCCCTTTCTTTTGTTCACACTAACAATGTCTTTCTGTCTGCTTGCCTGCCTGTCTGTCTGTAGTCTGGTGATAGAACCCAGGCTCTTGTATGTGTCAGGCAAGCACTCCACTGAGCTACATCTCAGATACAGTTTCTGAATAGTTAGTACACTGAAGCCTGTTTAACCAATGCATTAACTAAGATGTAACAGAAAAACAAGAGATTCCAACGTACTATAAATAATCAGAAAAGATAGGTATAAACTACATTGGCTTAATATATATCATGAATTAACACAGATTTTTGTAGAGTGGCAGGAAACCTATTCACCCATGATTTATAACAATTTTAAAACAGTAGATCATGATCTGCAATACATAAACTTAGAGAAAACAGTCTCTTTCTTTGAAGGCTGCATATAAGCATGTGGGCCTATAATTATATGAGAAACAAGGTGAAGAGCACAACAAAACTGTAAATGTGTAAAAAAAATCAATAATATAAAAGGAACAGTAAAAACTGGGCTCTTTCTCAAAATTGTATGTCTCAAGATTTTTTTTTTTAAAGGGCCAAACTTTTTACAAGACTTTTACAAATTCAACATATCCCAAACTATAACAAGATAGCCTTTTCACAGTTATCAAACTTACCAATAAACTCTAGGCAATCTTTATGAATAGTGTTCTGCTCGGGCAAGTCTAAAATACCATCCCAGGATGCCAAACTATCACCTTTTCCTGCAACGTTCAGAGCAATCTGGAAAAAAGATGTTAGAAGCAACTAGCACCATTGTTACTGCTCTTTCCTGTAAAATATGCTGCACTAAAGAAAGCAGGAATTTAGGAATAATAACAAGATTACAAGCTTAAGTATCTGTACACCACCAAGTGTCACCACCACCAAGTGACAAAATTCTCCTATAGTAGATTTCTCCACTTCATGTTGATTCAGTGAATAGAGTGAATTATACAATATTTGTATACTTACAAACATGGCTTTATTTAAACTATTTTTGAAATGTAAAAACTAAGAATGTAATATTAAAAATTAAAAAATATACCTATGCCATGTACAATTTAAAAGTATAAAAAAGAATTCTTAATGAATTGAGATGTTATTTTGTAAGTTTTTTCAAGTATGTGTAAAAACTTATTTATTTATCTATTTATTTATTTGAGACAGGGTCTGTCTATGTAGCCCTGTCTATCCTGGAACTCACTCTGCAGACCAGGCTGGCCACCACACATTTTTATTTTATTTTATTGGCAATGTTGGGGGGGATTTGAACCTAGAAGCCCTGCACAGGGTGGGCAAGCACCCTACCACTGAGGCACATCCCCAACCAAAATTAGCACTGTCTTAATTAACACACTCAAGTGACCGTCAAATGCAATAAGTAGTCCTTCCAGCATTTGAATCTGAGCAAATCACCATAAAATTACTTTTCTAAGACAATTGAAGAAATTATTTTGATACTAAAGAATTGTGGTTTTTAGACAACTAATGGTTGGTGGAGAGAGAAAGACATTTTCTTCAGTGGGTACAGCCACTGGATAAGACTGCCTACGCTCCTATAAGTAACTCTAAAGATACCTGGATCACCTCCCCACAAAATGGGGTGAAAAGACATGAAATTAGAAGAGACTTACTACAAAGAGGAGCAGGACCAGCGAGAAAGGAAGGGAGAAGAGGGTGGTGGAGGGGAATACGACCAAAGTATGTAATATATATGTGTGAAGCCGTTACAATGAAATTATTATTGTGCACGGTTAATATGTACTGATAAAAAGTAAGAAGTACTGTCTGATGGTCTTAAAGTCACTTCAAAATTATTTTTCAGAAATTTCATTTTGAAGTATTTTAGTTACACTACTAAGGATTTGCTTTAAAATAATTCAGCATCAAGGGACAGGGAAGATAGGAAGAGAATATTAGTCAAACAAGACTGGTCAGATGCCAGTAAAAGTTAAAGTTGAATTATAGATACATGACAGTTCACTGCACAAGTCTCCATTCTTTTCAATGGCAAGGCACACACAGCATCTGTATATTCTCCTTTATGAGACAGATTTCTGCCTTCACAGACATTATCAGATTAGAGGAACTATTAAATAAAGAATGGCATAAGCAGGTTGATAAATTGCACTGTGAAATCATGAAAACAACCCATGGAAACTTATCCATGGCAGTAGAAATGGCTAACGCCTGATAAAGCACTCACCATGTGCCATACACTATTCTATGTGTTTAAATTCCTGCAATACTGCATTTGGAATGTTATGTGCAGTTATAATTCCAATTCTGTTAAATGTATATACATCTAGACATTATTGTGTGGTTTACCTACTGGTAGTAACATGATTTTTTTTTTTTTTTGGTTTTTCGAGACAGGGTTTCTCTGTGTAGCTTTGTGCCTTTCCTGGATCTCGCTCTGTAGACCAGGCTGGCCTTGTACTCACAAAGATCCGCCTGCCTCTGCCTCCCAAGTGCTGGGATTAAAGGCGTGCGCAGCCACCGCCCAGTGTAACATGACTTTTTATTTCATCCTTTAAGCTTATAACTTTTCACAAATATCTAATATCTTTATTTAATTTTTTTCTTTTTTTTTTTTTCAATCTCCCACCCTACCAAGCCTGCGTCTTCCCTGTCTGTCCCTTTCCCAGATTCACGACTTTTGTTTTTGTTGTAGGATCCATTTGGTTGACTCACGGCCATCTATGTGACCACTGAACTAGAAATGCCCATTGGAGCCTGGTGGGGTCACCAGCAGATAAACAACTGATGACATTTACCACCCATTACCTCAATTTCTCCATAGGAAAAAGCGCAGTAGAAAATGGTAGAGACCCAAGTCCCTTCTCCATTTCTGGCTGGCTGGTGGGCCCATTCCTTTTTTTTTTTTTTTTTAATGATTTATTTATTTGCATTGGTGCATCTGTATAAGGGTGTTGGATCCCCTGGAACTGGAATTATAGACAGTTGTGAGCTGCCATGTGGGGTGCTGGGAATTGAACCCAGGTCCTCTAGAAGAGCAGCCAGTGCTCTCAACCGCTGAGCCATCTCTCCAGCCCCATGATGGGCCCATTCTTGAGCAGGCCCAGTGTAGTTAGCATAGTTGCTGAGCATTTATGAGAAAAGAAGACACATATGTGAGGTATGGTGGTGCTCACCTGTCATCCCAGCACTATAGAACAGAGAGGAAGGAAGGTGGATTGCAAGGCTAGGCAGTGAAACATAGCAAGATCGTGTCTCAAACAAAACAAAGTCAAAACCCACAACCAAAACCCCACATACAGCAGAGAACAGTTGGAAAAGCAAAAATAAAGAAAAACTGTAACCCCAAAACTCACAGACATATTTACTTTAATATACCTCAGATCATTCCATGTGTGTCTATATGTGTTCTATTTTACTTACTGTGCATGTTTCTTCTCTTAGCTACCATTCACTAACAATCTTCATACGAATTACAGCCATTTCTATCAATATTGTAAACATTATTATTAAGGACAGAAAACACTACAGAAACATTTATTTTGAGACAGGGTCTCATTGTGTCCTCCTGGCTGGCCTAGAATTTACTATATAGACCAGTCAAGCCTTGAGCTCAGAGATCTGCCTGTCTCTGCCTCCCAGTGCAGGCAGGGATTAAAGGTGTGTACAACTACACCTGGTTCAGAAACAATTAGTTAGTTACTCAGGTCCATTTTCTAGATGCAGCATACTCATAAACAGTCTTTTCAGAGAGTTGAAAACCAATTATTAAAAATTCTGTTAAGTGACTACATTTTACTCATAGGTTTCAAGTTACCTTCCAAACCTGTGCCCTCAGTTCAGCAGGCAGAGGTCTCCCTTGAATAATATTTCTCAAAGTTTCAAGATCACAACCTCCTGCTTCCAGGGCTTCTTCAAGATCTTTTTCCCTAAAAAGAAGAAGAAAGAAAAGTTCTGTTCATTCAAACTACTCTTGAATCATCTTTTTTTTTTCCCTTGTACAAATTCTCTCAGAAGGACGGCCAGCTAAAGGTTTTGGGCAGTCCAAACAACACAAGGCACATGCAGCACCATACGTTCCGTTTCAGGGACAGTTCTGCCTTCCCAGGTATTACCGACCAGAGACGTTAAGTAGAAGACAGCACAAGCACACTGACAGCACTGTCAACTCATGAAGACAAGTCCCAGGGACGTATTCATGGCAGTGGGAGGGCCTGATGCAGCACTCACATGTGCAAGGCACTGTTCCACAACTCACATGTGTTCACTTATTGTTTGTTTAGAAACAGGATCTCATATACCCCAGGCTGACCTGAAACTTACACTTCTGTTCCTCCTCCCTCCATCTCCCGAGAGCTGGGATTACAGAACACAACCACCCCACCCTGCACGTGTTCTTTTTAATCTCCACTACAGTGAGCTTACACACATCACTGGCTGCAACTTTGGTGCAAAATAAGGCAAAGAGGGGTTATGAACAGTTATGAGACAACTAGAGTAACCATCCTATGATATCAAAAATAATTATTCTTGTTTTTAATATGTTATCATCTCATGGCTATAATTGATAGCAAAGCCAGAAGACAAATTTTAGCAGTCTGGATTCAAATTCATAACATTATGCTAAACAGTGGCAAAGATGAGAAACCCTAAAATTCCACCAAGATATTCAAAGCACTGCAGTCGGGACTACTTACTGCATAATTCTATCAATGCTCTTCCCAGAGCAGAGCCTGACTTACAACAAGTGTTTGATAAATGTCAACAGAACAAAACAGGGCTCCACTGTTGTATTAAAACTGAAAACAAAACATCATCAAGCAAAGTAGGGGCAATTATGCGCAATCTACCATGTCTGAGGAGAAAAGTAGAAAGTTAATTTTCTTTCCACCATGCATGGTTAGGATGGTAAGTTAAGAACTTCCACAAGGTATGAGCTGTTTTGTAGCTAGAAATATCCTTAAATCAATTCCTTAGGAATTTTAGAGGTTGACATTTCAGTCATTTATTATTTTAGCATATATTAAAATCTGTAAAAATATAAAAAAATCATAACTCATTCATAATTTATAGCATTCTTGAAGCAACTTAAGAAGAAAGGCAGGGTTGCTAGAACCAGGAAATCGGGATGCTGTCTGACCTTCTCTAGTTTTAAAGAAAAATCAGTGACTGAATAATTTAGACCTCCCCACACTGATACGATTCTAAGACTACTGCGTAAATGTACACATTTCATTAGGTTGTCCTCTTAACAGAAAGGAATGAAATGAAAACGGAATCACTCAGGTACAATCAACAGAAAAGCACCAGTCAAGTGCAAAGTGTCCTTCAACTAAGTTAGTCCAAATTCACACGGACACACTGGTGACCACACAAGGCATATTTTGGTCTTTTGCAAATAATCACTACAAAGCTGGAAAATGAAACGAGAAAATAATCACTACGAAGAAAAGGAAACAGAACAAGAGATTTCAAGGTTAGTGTTGAACGTGCAGACCTCATAAAGACTGGAGTCTGTCTAGTTCATGCTAACCAAGCTATACAATACAGACAATAACAATTTCAAATGTGGTTTATAACTGTGAAATTAAGAAAAGACAATGTATGCATGGTAGATAAATAACATATGTTGTCAAATGTGTAAATGAAATGAAGAAAATATCCTTTAATTGAGATGGAATTTTATAATATAAATGAACTAGAATTTTTCTAAATTTTTAGGCCAACTCTTATTTTCTTTTTGAAGTAGCTCTGCCAAACACCTTACTATTCCAGACAACAAAGCTAGTATTTGGTCAAAATGCCCACTCTTCCAAGGACTTTCAGAGTCATAAGTAGCGTACAAGCACACTGGTTAATGCAGCTGCTGCTGGATTCTGTGATGCTGTGCCAGGGGATCACCAACTGTGGTGGCAGCAGAGACTGTAAGCAAGTAGAGACCAGAAAATACTATACTTGACGTAGTAAAGACACTTTCCACAAACCTAAATAATTCAAAACAACAGTGTCTTTTGAGGAAACCAAAGGTTCAGTTTTCAGACTTTGAACACTACCACTTGCAACTGTAGTAGAGAGTTGTGAACACTGCAGTTGAAGACTGTATGGAAGGATGAGCAGAGATGGGAACTTGACATAGCATTCAGCTCCCAAAGAGGCTCAAGTCTCAGCCTTTGAAGACACGGTACCTACAAGTCTAACTGGGTCCGGAGAGGTTTAAGTGGACAGACTGTAGTTTTCAGTCTTCTTTGGCTACAAAAAACTTCTAGCTGACGTTACAAGCTAAAGCTTGGTACAAATAAACTAGACAAGCAGACAAGGCCCCAAAACAGTAAAGTATAAGCTTTATTCATAAAAATAAGCAAGGATTCCCTTTGCTTGGCAAGTTCAAAACACAGCAAATACAAAGCCTTGTGGTTGGAAGTAAACAGAAAACCACTTCCCTCCTGGCTCTGTAACTCTGAAACTATAACATATATTAGAACACAACAGGGTACTTCAATGAGCTACCAATAACATGCTTACAAAATATAAATAAAAGTCCAACAATGGGTTTCACATCTGTGATCTCAGGAATCATGATACTAAAGGGCAAGAGAATTGTGGAAGTTCAAGGCCAACCATGACTACTGAGTGAGTTCCTGCCTCAAAAAACAAAAATCTAAAAACAGAAAGAAAAGAAAGTAATAACTACCTCCAAAATAAAATTTCCTCTCATAGTATGTTTTGTGGCAAAATCATCAAAGCACTCTAACCCAAGCTGTTTTAGAATTACAGTCAGGCAGACAAGGGCTCATACTGTGGCTATTAACTGAGTTGGATCCTCTTCCATCAGATAGACAGGAGCTGGGACATATAGAACACGTACACAATTGTACAGGAGACAAAAGCATAAACTCCATCCACTTCCAAACTTAATATGCATTCCCAATGCTTCTAATTAGTAAATCCAACTGAAAATTTTTATAATCGTTTTTAAATAAGCCATTAAATAAATCATATGAAAAATATGACTTCCAAAACAACAGATATTATCAATGTAGACCTTGGTTGCCTCTGTGGAATTGAGGGACAGCCCCTATTGCTGAAGACACCAGACACATAGGACACAGGACGTGGATGTGAACTCAATCTGACCCGAAGGCCTCTTTCCTGTCATCTACCTTCCATGGTTCCAGAAAATACTATGCAAGCTTCCGACAGAGGGAAGCAACTAAACAGTCCGACTCAGCAGCAATACCTATGAAGCATGACAATGACCAGAATGACATGATAGACATAAAGGTGCAATAAATGGCACTCACGTGTCAATGGTTGTCTAACTGAACTTAAAGCCCACTCAACAGGTGGGAAATCCTTGTATGGGAACCCAGTCAACTTCCTGGGGCTAGTGAAGCCATGGATCTTAGAAAAAACTTACTACTGCCACTTTGCTAGACCAGCATAATTCCTTACTACATTCTAAATCTTATCTCTATACCCACAGAAAAATGTAGCAATCACCCCTTATCAGAAGCCTCTCTTTATAGCAAATGAAGACTATCACTGAAAACCACAACATGATACAATGAAAGATCAACAGACTGTGGGGAGCCCAGCCCCAACAGATACAACTACATCACAGTTCCTCTATCTGTGGCTTAGCCAACATCATGGAAGAGAGTGTAGAAGACTGTAAGAACCAGGAAGTGTCCTGTGAAATGTTCTCTCCTAGAAACAGCTGCATAAACAAGAATGGAAGAACAGCACTATCACTGTACATGTAATGTGGAAAGAGGGAAACTTCCTACTACTAAACCAAGAACTACAGGCAACTACTGACTGCTGGGAGAAGGCTAATTAGCTTCTCCCAGGGACGAGCCACTTATTGGTTGTCCTATCCAGAATGGTCAGCCTTGAGATCACATACACACCACCAACAGAGACAGACTCAGATTGTTGTACTCGCATATATTTGTGTGCACGAATGCACGCATGCGCGCGCATTGTCTTTCCCTCAACTATGTTCAAAAACTTCTTTTACTCACAATTTCAAAATTTACAAAAACTGTTTAATTATATACATTGTTTAAACGGAAGGAAAACAAGAGTTACTTCACCTATTGTTTCAAGCATATTTCTGTATGTAAAGAAACATCACATCATTAGAATTCCATCATCACTCCTTCCCACCAACCCTTCCTCACCTTGTTCATTTATTCTCTGCCTCTACATATTTACCACTTGGAGTATTTCACATAAATGTAATCGTGGCACATGACCTTTAATGCCTGGTTTCTTCCTTTAGCATTATGTTTCAAGCTCTACTCATGCTGTAGTCTACGTATCAGCACATGCTTTTACTGCCAAATAATCTTCCAGCACATGAATATATCCTATTTTGTTTGTCCATATGATGATGGGCATTTGAGTTGTTTCAAGTTGAATATTATGACTACCTACTAAACTTAAATCAAGTGGTTAAATGTATGATTTCTCCTTAAAGAGCTCTGGAAGAATTTAAGAAGCAAATCTATTAAAGAGATGGGAGCAGCTCTTACTGGCTTGCAGTTCATTCAGATTTGTTTAGATGTAAGGCACTATGTGCACATATTAAGCCATGGCAGCTCCATGTGTGTATCATGTATATATCACTGCTAGCTTTAAGCCTGACCAGTTGTTTCTACTTCTAAACTAACTAACCAGCTAGCTGGAAGTACTGACAAACAGTATGACAGGCAGTAAGCACTCATTTCGAGTTGTTTTGTGGCTTACTTTGTGCCCTGCACTTCTGAGTGTTTCCTATGGCACAGCTCAAGAGACATCAGCACCAAACTTCTTTTGGACTTATTGTGCTACGATTTTCTAGCATGCTGGTTACAAATTCCTAACCCTGACCATTCTGCAGGACAGCTGGTAGAAACACAAATAGGACAGTTTTGTTACAGAATCA